AAAAAAAAAAAAAAAAAAAAAAGTGTTTTAAGTAATTTTATTTTCATTCTTTATACAGGTTTGATAACCCAGCTGCTGTAAGTCCGACTCCTACAAGGCAGCTAACATTTAACTACCTTCTTCCTGTGAATGCTTGGCTTCTATTAAATCCTTCAGATCTCTGCTGTGATTGGACCATGGGAACAATACCTCTAATAGAGTCATTTCTAGATATTCGGAATCTTGCCACTTTTGCTTTCTTTTGCTTTCTGGGGATTTTGGGAATATTCAGTCTCCGATACCCTGGTGATTCCTCCAAGACTGTATTAATGGTAAGAAACTCTTAACTTTTCAAAAAAGTTTACATTCCATTGATTAATTCATCAAAACCATCTTAGAATCAATGTTCAGCATCATCCTTATCTATGAATTGATTCTTGGTTATCCTAAAAATTATATATATAATTTGTTACACATAATTGTGTATATTATATATATTTTATATTATATATCATTACCTTACTACATGTCATTTCATATCATAATTATAATACATAATATAACTAAAATATAATTATAACATGTTTTATATAAAACATACATAAAATATACTTACATATACTATGTAATGTATGTTACATTATATATTATATATTTTATATTGTATATTATATGTCATGTATACATTGTATAATTATTTTATTGTGTTATATAATAGATGGTATATTGCTATATCCTCTATTATATGTATTATACTATTATATGTATCAAAATGATTTTCAGGTGTGTGTGTATTGCTGTGTACATTCAATGTGTCTTATATGTGTTAGCTTCATTGAACTAGGTTGTGCACATCTAGAGAAACTTGTTCTATTATATACTTGTTTTCCTTTAGTGGAGAAAAGTCCCTTATGAAATATGCAGCTGAAAAATGCACATAGCTCTTACTTCTCATTAGCAAGGTTTGTATTCCTTTCTGAGGTAGATCTCACTATATTCAGAGATGCCTGATCATTTTAAAAGTCTTCCTGTTGTCTTCTTGAATTATTTTTCTTTGTAATTTTCTTATTTGGCCCTCACTTCTTACAAGAGTTAATGTTTCTGGGCTGGAGATTTAGCTCAGTGGCACCGGGCCTGCCTTGGAAGTGCAAGGTCCTGAGTTTGATCCCTGGTAGGAAAAAAAAAAAAGAGTTATGTTTCTTTTTTTAACAACAGATTAATAACTTGAAACATTTTCTCTAGCACTTACTATATGTTAATGAGCATACGCTTTACAAACATATCTTTTTAGGTAGTTATTAGATTAATTTATTCAGTAGAAATTTGATTGTAGACTACAACCTGGGCAGCATTTTTGACACTGAGGATATGATAATTAAAAAGAACACCAGGGCCTATTTACAGAAAGCTTGAATTATAGAGAAATTTGTAATCAATGGCTGAGATAAAGAGAAAATTGAAAGAATATGGGATAGGGTTTGGGGAAAAAATGATATTTACTATTACCTTTGGACATGTTGAGTTTGAGATTCCTTTGAAACATCCTAGTGGAGCAATTGAATGACACTTTGTGCCTGCAGTTCAGGAGCAATACTTAAGCTACATAAAAACTTTATTCATAACAGAAAAGTGGTAATTGAAACCAGCATGTAGATGATGATGGCATGTGGAGAGGTTACGAAAGCAGCTTTTTTTCAAACAAGGTATTGTCATTTCTTTCAAACATGGTTGCTAGTACCATTTTAATAACATTGGACAAAAGTTAATTCATACTTATTATGGATGCCCTAGAGTATTTAATGCTAAATAGAGTGAAAAGAGAATACTAAAACTTTGTTCTAAAAAACTCATATTTAGATTTTTGAATAGAGATGAATGAACCTAAATAGATATTATAAAATAAGCAGAAAGATAAGAAAATGCTTCAGGAAAGACAGAATTGTTAACACTAATAGATACTATTAAGCAGAAAAGTAAGATCTATTGAAAAGTGCTATCTTGGATTTGGTCTCTTATAATCTATCAGTTACTTAAATATCAAAAACTGTTGCTTGGTTGATATTGAGAAACATTTTCATTTGAGTGTTCTGCTCTCTTTTTGAAGCAAATGATTCGCTAATGAATTGGATTGTAAAAACGTTTATTAAGTTGAAATATCGATTGACAAAGTGAGTTTAAGACTACTTGTTACCATGGCTATAACAGTCTTTTTCTGAGATTTTATAAACTTGTTTTAATACCTGATGGACATAATGAATGGGGAATTTAGCTTAAAGATGGAGAGTTTTAAGGTTAGAGAGCCAAGAGAATGTTTAAATTTAGGTACAAAGAATAAAGTTGATTAGAAAAATGGTTGAATAAATGAGAGAAGGGATAATTGATATCTGCGGTTTGTGAGGAGTAGGGGAGTACTGTGCACAGATTTGACCTTAGGAGAAAACTTTTCTGTTACAAGAAGACAGCAAAGACCATGCATGTGGATGTTGGTAGGTTTTAGTACCAAGGAGTTGAAGAAATTCTTATTTGGTGGCCTCAGCATTCTCTTAATGAGCCACTATGATCACCCCCTGAAAGTGACACGGATCAAAAGTGTCAGAGCAGTCAAGATTGAAAACTCTCAGACTAGAATCAAACCTATTGGAAAACTAGATATCTTAAGCAATCTTAAGGATTGATTTGAAGTTTTAGATCATGAATTTATTAGAATATTTACTGTAGTTAGCTTTAGGACTTTCTAATAGTACGTTACTGTTCAAAAAAATGCAGACAAATAGATAAATGGTAACTACAATAGTACATAAGATCCTAATAAGATTAATGACATGGTGAAATGGGAAGAAAGGGGCTAAAGGTGTAGGGAAGGTAGGATGGGTAGGGGAAGGGTAATAAGGGAAAAGAAAAAAATGTAAGATAATGAAAAGCTGGAAATAAAGTGATTGTAGATGGGGAGGGGAGGAGGGGGTGAAGGGAGGGCAG